CCTGATAGATAAATCTCTTCATAGTAATTCAAAGCAGTGTAACAATACCAGTAACCTACTAAGATGAAACTGCATCATGTTTGCTGTAAATGCAAAAAAAGTGAGCTTTATTCCCAAGCAATCTAATGGTAAGTACTGGAAAGCCCTAATACATACAAAAAGATACCATGACCAAGAAAATCCTTTTGTAAGGTAACAGATGTTGACATGTTGTGTAACACTGCCTTGTAGCAAAGAAGCAGTAGCCTTCCAAAATAATCATGTATTCATTTCCAATGCAGCAGCCAAATATTAATCACTTCACAGTTTTCTAAGATTTAAAGATCCCAGTAACAACTTCTCTCTTTGTCTTCCTAAAAAGACGCAAGCAAAGACAGCCAAGTCAGCAAAAGATCAAGCATTGTAACATACAACTCAGAGTAAGGCAGAAAGTATCAATCATATACACAAACATCATGACCAGGTTGCTCGTGCAGGGGCCCAGACAGCTGTTTCTCTTGATTAAATGGCACTGACATCAGACCCTTCAACCTCCATCAATGAAAGTTTATTAAATCATGTCAGACAATTAAGACAGGCGTGAAAATTACTGGAAATGAGAACTACACCATGTGGTAACACCAGATTACATGGCGCGCTCTCTTCAGTAAGGCGAGGAACTGCTCTGTCAGGCCACGCACTAGAACCTCTTGTAGAAGCCATTGGAGTCTGCATCGCCCTATTTGTTCCCAGTTAGAAATATTCCCCACATCAAATTATGTGATAGTAAGGAAAGGCTATACCCACCCAAGAACTTCCCAGGGCATCCATGGGAAGGCAGTCAGCAAGCTGGGAGCAGCATCTCACTGCCGGTGACTTATTTCTGGCACAAGAGCCATCTCACTATGTGCAATTCCTGCACTCTTCACTGAATTTGACCTTGGACTTTAGCGCTGCAAGGAATTAATGCCTATCCCTCTTGGAACTTCTCTTGGTTTCCCAAACCTTCCTACCTCCACCATTTCCCTTTTCCTAACAAATCTCCCACCCCACCCACACACACACATACTTTTTTTTTTTTTTTTTTGTAACTCAATCCTGTCATTTTTCTGTATCCACTTGTGCCTGGATCATCACCAGCCATTCCCCTTTCCCTAGGGCCTTCTTCCACATACATCCCTTTTCTCCCTTACACTTCCATCACCTGCTACATCCTACAAGCAACTTCCTTTAATTATGCATTCAGTTAGCTTCTCCTGACAAACTAACTCAGATTCCTCAACAGCTTCTTCCCCCCCTCAATATCCCAAGCCCATCCAACCGTACCACAGACCTTCTACATCCATTTTCACCAGATTGCCTCTTTTTTGTCAATCCTCCATCTCTGGGTCACATTCTTCTCCATTACACAGACACATGCTTTTTGGGCCTTATAAGGACTTTTCTCTCAGCTCCTGCACATGGGCAGCCTGGCAGAAATGTACCATATACACAGCAATAGTTCCTACTCTCGGGACTGTAAGCACTGTCAGTATAACCCAGCCCTTTTACATCAAGCCAGCCAGGCTTTGACATGTTAAGTATCACCTCCAGTTCATACACTTCAACTGATGCTTCATACTTAAAAAGCTCATGTAAGCAGGAATGTGTTGGGAATATGTATGAATTATTAGCTCCACAAATACAAGCACACACAAAGGTACCTATGTTTGGCACCAGACAAATTTCTGAAGGGCAGGGGAATGCCAAAACAAGGCCTGTTCAATGCCATTGCAACCAGGTCACCAGAAACCACTGCAGAAACACTACTTAAAAATTAAAAAAAAAAAACAAAAAGAAAGGTAAAACCTCACAAAACCCAGTCCCATTAGCTTTTCCATGTAACGTACACAATGACCCCTGACAATGAAAGGCTGTAAGAGGGAAGATTATACCCCTTGGACTCTCAAATCCTAGCAGTCTTCCACTGCACGACCAAAATGTAGCACAGGACTACATAAAGAAACACGAGAGGAGAAAAAAGTTGTGGTCAGCCAAGTACCAGGGTGACGGAATCAAATCCCCACTCCTCAGCAATATTAAACAAAAGAATGGGATTTTTCCTGAAATTCTAAACCAGAAAAAGCACAGGAAGATGATCTGTTCTGATGCACGTATGTGAACTATAAAGCCATAGCTTCAAATTTATAAATCACATGACTGTACGTTCCTGGCTGGACTTAAAAGCAGCTGCTGAAACCTCTCCATGGAAAGCCAATAAATATTTTATCAAAAACAAATGAGGAAAAAGGCCTGAAGCAAGTTTGCGTGCAGCGGGAGTCCAAACTTGGGGGAAAAAGTGCCAAGCTAAACTACCACCTTATCGTTGCTCCTGGTTTCAGGAATATTCTTAGCCTTGCCTTATAATTTGTCTCTAAATGTAGGGTTTAATGAGAAATAAAAGTAATACTCTGAGTAATTCTGCATGAAATCACTTTTATCAGGAGCCAGAGCTCACTGGGATGTATCAAAGATACATCTAAAATCTGCAGTCTACAGAAACCTCTCAGTACAGACAGCTGATACAGACTCTGAGAAAATTTGAAGGAAACTTCATTCAGCTTATTTTTTAAGAGCACACCAGGTGCCCTGTTTCCATCACTCTATGAAAGCATGCGTCCTGAACGACACTGTTGTATCCACTTACCTATGAACAATATGGAAACCCCAACCCAGTGGGATTTCTTGGCTTTAAGATTGTGGCATTCGTGGTTACATCCCCGATCATCTCCCCTGGACTTTGTGGGAGTGTAAGTAAAAGAATGTCATTATCCAGACAACCTCATTACCTGGGATATTAGAAGGAGCAGGGATCTGTGAGAATTAAGGGTCAGGAAATCTTGACAATGGCAGTCCCATAAACCTATACCAGAATGTATCTGAGACCTTATTAACAGCAGCATTCAAAACACAAACACAGAGGCAGTCAGCATTGTGTGCTTGACACACACATGCAGCTAGTACAATGGGAAACTAAATCTTATATGTTTTTGTGCATTCCTCTACGTTTCGGTAGACCTCAGGCTTCTGTAGTTTGTAAATGCCTAGGATTAGGCAACATTTCAGCCGCAAGTGACCGCTCTAATACTCTAAATTGAATTTAAATTTCCAATACTTCATGAAAAAGATAAGTTATCAAAAATTTTTATGGCAGGCAACTATAGCATTCAGCAATGATCACCCATCAGTGCTCCTGCCGAGAGCCCACCTCCCTAGAGCAAATGCACGTTGGCCGACCACCTGGTCCTTAGAAGAGATTTCGGTACTGAAGCAGGATTCAGAAAAAGCAGCCCCAGAGAGGATGCCTTCCCCCTTAGCAAAGGCATGGTTGCGAATTTAGTCAACACCCTACCGCAGACAAAGGCTGGTGGGAGGAGGGGTCTCCGGCAAGTCAGGAGTTAGCAGGTTCATTGGGAAAGGTCTGGTGAGGCGGAGGGGAAACCGCAGGGCCCCGGCGGCTCGGACCTGAGGCAGTAACTGGGGGTGGCTGGCGGAAAGCGGCGGCCCAGGGGGCAGAGGGAGAAAACAGTGACAGGGTGCAGCCGAACAGCACAAAAGC